GTGTCCCAATTGGAAGGAAGCTTGACCTGCTAGCTCTTCAGAATTATGATGAGCTCGTATCAACTCTAGCCAACATGTTCAAAACCCCAATTACTTGTAAGTGTTACACATTATTAGAAAGAAACAAGAAATGGGTTTTTGTTTTTGGGAGCAGTTATATCAATCTGTGCATCTGAAAATGAGTTTCTTCCTTGGGTTCTTGAAAGATGGCATTAACCTTAAAACCAAAATGTGCAGGTCCTAATGGAGATAGAGCCGATCATGCCAAAAGTTTCCATGTTTTGACCTATGAAGACAGAGAAGGAGATTGGATGATGGTTGGAGATGTTCCATGGGAGTGAGTTCGATCATCCCATACAAGTTCTGATTACTTTTCCAATTTATTCACCCTTTTTGCATTTTACGACCAGAATTCCTCACAGTTTGTCCATTAATGGCTTCCATAGGATGTTCATGACCACCGTCAAGAGATTGAAGATCACAAGAGCTGACAGATGTTAGCATTCAGGACAATTTTTTTCCATTTTCCAGATTGTCTTCTCATCGAAGAGAGGAGACCAATCATACAGAGATGTACAGTCTTATGTCAAATTGATGATGATGATGATGATGACATGGGTTATAATACACAGTCCTAAAACTGCTGAATCCTTTTACAGTTTTTGCAACTTGGAGAAAATCATTACACTACAACACATGGACAGACAACAGTAGAAATGTGGAAAGAATTCGAAGAACATCTGGAGATTTTTTGAGTGCATTTGATTGCCGGGTACTTTTGTTCTTGAACTTTTCTTTTCTTCTTTCTCGCTTATCCCCCTTTCATCATGCTTTTACTTTAGTTCTTCTCTTTAATTCACGTGGTCCTCTAGCGCCTCGTGTTCACTACAGTATTTACTTTCGCTCTGGGATTAATTACCATTGGAAGTAACTTTTTGAAGTTGAGGTCCTAGCTAAACTTCACCTGTTTGCCCACTTTACATGAGCATCATTGGATGGAAAGATTGTCACTGTTAGTTAAGCAAAACCCAGTGGTCCTCGAGTTTTTAAGAACCATGTTTATATATAGAATAACCCTGCGATCATACACAACTATAGACGGACGAAATCGTGATCTACGATAATTAAAATGAAAGATAAACAACTAATGAATCTCTCACTTTTTAATTCGAATCCAAAGCAATTATCAAGAGCTCCATAAATCTCCCATCTTTCTTTCTCATGACAATTAAAATTATATTTTAAAAAATGGATCAAAATCTTTACGTGCTATATTAATTTTTTAAAAATTTAGTATTTTCACTATATCCCTTCTCATTATGTAACCAGCTTGAATGCCTGCATAAGGTATTGTTCATCCATGTGTTTCCTTACATCAACAATTGACCTGATAAATTTTCACTATAAATGCTTCGGTTTGGACTCGTGTGTTACACTTTTCAAACATAGGACAACAATTTGGTTTTATCTCCATTTTCAACCCTCCAAGAACATTCATTTAACAAAGTATGACATGAATAGAGCTCTGTGGTAAATGGACGACCTTCAATTACTATGAAATGGTTTCTCTTTACTATGGTTTATTTTGAAATGGAACTCTAAAAATCAATGGAAAGACTAATTTTTCCAAGGCTGTCTAAAAACTAAAGAAAAAATTGTTAAATGTATCAGACATAAAAGAAATGTAAATCGAAGTTTACAATTTGTCTGTTTGTGGATCATAACCAACCACTCTAAAACCTTAATCTTTTAGAAAAATTTGGACTTACGACCTATACTCTGACGCTGTGAAAAATTTTGTGGGCAAGGCCAATTGTTTTTAAAAGTTCAAGCTATTAGACGAATGCACCATTTAACCTATAAATGTACTAACACTCCCTCTCACGCTTAGGCTAGACTTTGGCTTCTGCTCTAATACCATAAAAAAAATTTAAAATTTTGTCGGGATCAGGATCAATTGCTGTAAAGTTTTAAGTTTTTAGATGACGACGATAATTAAATACTAAATATTCCAACAAAAATTTACTATTTGGAATATATGCTTTCTTAGATTAAATAGACTAAGAAGAATGTACATCTGTTTTTAAGTGGCAAATTGAATGTTCTTTTTCTACATTAACGAACTCAGAAATAATAATGTTAACAGTAATTTACACCTATTCCATATTTTCGTTATTGATACAGTGAATTAGATCCAATTAAATTCGTAAGAGGAGTGAGATACTTAAAGGCCTTAATTTTCTCGAATCCTCAATAAAGAGTTAGGGTCTTCAAGAGAGAACGAGAGAGAAACAGAGAGAGTACTTCAACACTGCGTAAGCAAAGGAAAAAATCTTTTTCTTACCACTACTATCCGTGTGGCTCTTCAAGTTATTGCATATGTACGGGAAAATTGCGACTCAAATTTACATCCAATAAATTTTGCAGCGACCTATCCATACGATCACCTATGTGAGGATTTTGACAGCCTTTTGCTCTTCCGTCGTACTTGAATTTTGACCAGCGACTTCCTGCTCCTCCTCTGCCTGTGGACATTGGTGGCGTTGAGCAAACCGGCCCGCGTAAAAATTGATATCTACTCCATGATCCCCGTTCCAACAGCTTGATGATAACCACTATTAAATAGAGCAGACCTTCAGGATCTTCCATGCACAATGGAGGGATTACTATGAACGAGCTGTGTGTATGCACCTGATCCACTGTATGTTCATGATCTATAGGAATGTTTCCATTATTCGGGAGATTGATTGGACATGGAAACACGTCGCGACAGTGCATTTGGGATCGCATGTGGAAATAGTATTTTTTAAACGGGTGATGATCATGATCAAGAGGCTTGTCTAAGGATACTTCACTCCCATTTTTTTGAAAGAAGGAAGAGTGAGAGTCATATGAGCCAAGGCAGGCCTGATAGACAAACATAAAACTGGGCCTAGTCACCTCCTTCACTCAAGGATCTTTCATTTGGGCTTGGTTTAAAGCACAGCAGCTATTATATCCATCTATTGAAACTAGGTTTTGGGATGCCAGAAAGCCACAAGAACAAAAAAAAAAAGATGATAATAATAATAATAACAAAAAGAAAAATAAAACCCGCGAAAATGGATTGAAGTTGGAGTACATAGTGGAAATTACTCCTGTTAGAAATAATCTTTCTTAACACTATTCGTCACGCGCAGTAAGATTTTGGATGTAAAATCGCGAATTCAGGAATAGCCATACGAAGAGAATGAGGCGCGATTGAGGAGAGAAAAGGCTAGACGCGGTACTGTCGATTACTAAGAAGAGTGAGCAATAAGATTTGGAGCTACGACGAACAGTGATGAGTCTATCTTAGAGCACGATTTACCTTTAGACCTTGTTATATCGGAATAATATGTCAGATTTTTTCTTTTGTCACAATATTTTTTTTTTATTATCCATGAGATATGGAAGGGATATCCTATGCATCTGGTGGGGGAATCTTACTTTCACTTTGAGGTACTATGGAAAGCAGATTTTTTTTTCCTAGCCCTGATGAAATCTCCCGAACTTAGACAAAATGAAAGGCAGTCATATAAATAAATAAATAAATTTTCATATCCAGGAAGATCTTATCCAACACGATGGAAGTCGATAAGATGAAAGTAGATACAGAAGCAACGACAAAAAGTTTGAGGAATCTGATTGATTATGAACTACTTTTTCCCTCCCGAGTTCTTAATGAAAGGGACACTTAGTGGTCCTCTCATAATGATCTCCTCCTTCATTGAACTCTTGGCCATACACACTTATCGATTGTGTGGGGTCTTGCGCAACAAATCATCCGTCGATTAAATGTTTATGATAATACTTGAAAACTCCAAAACTTACTAAATCGCAAACAACATGCGATCACATATCCTCTATTCATTGGTCGTCATCGGATTCCTGGTAAGGCACACGCGGTGCGTACACACGATCCGACCCAATGCAACATGAGTGGAGTGTCCTCCAAACTTGAGTCCGCCTAAAAGATCTCATACCGGAATGGGACCTTCATTAGAAGAATTTCATTATGCTAAGTTTATTGGGATTGTGGCAAATTATCTCCTGATGTTTCAATTTTTGCAATTTGCGCTTTGACTTTTGAAATCGGCGACAATTTGTTCCTTGATGTTGACTCCAATCAAATTTTTGTCATATATTTGACCACGTTCTACACTTAATTAGTTATGGAAGGCAAATTGATCATATGTCATCCATATATGTGAGAGAAAATATATGGATTATGCAAAAGTATATTTCAGAACCATTTATGAAGGACATGTAGCGTTAACTCTAGCCAAATTCTTACTGGTAATTTAATCATTGCACTCACATGAAATATGTTTATGAATTATCCTACTTTTATGCGTATGTGCTTATATGACTAATTCGCTCTCAGTATGTAGCCACGTGTCATCACGTGGTCAAAACACCAAGCAAAATTTGGTCGGAACCAACATCAGCGGATACATCACAACCGAATTTTAAGAGTTCGGGGGGCAAAATGTATATATTGAAACGTCGGGAGGCAATTTAGAAAAATCCTAAAAGTTTGGGGCCAATGTGTAATTTGCCCCCTTCTTATTGGAGGGACAAGCTTCAAATAAAGTTCCCATGTGCGTGAAACCTGAGTGAGGTGTGTTAATAGCCAAAGAATTTAGGTGAAGCGTATGTGGGGACCAAACACATCCCGTTTCAAGCGAATATTGTCCACAAAAATTTCGTGTTTTTCATAAAAATCCCATTGACTCTTCTTCTTCCTCCACTTCCAAGACAAGAGGCCATGTACCGAATTTTCACTTCCATCGGAACAATTATAGGAGGTGATTGTGGTCGGTGCGTGGTGGTGGTGGATAAGCATCAAGGCAAAGGGGAGAAAACGTGGTCGGTGCAATTAAAACATTAATATCAAAAAGCATTGAGGATTTATAAGTTCTAATATCAAAATTAAGCAAGCAATAATCCCCCAAAAAAAATATCAAAATAGAGGGAAGTGAAGGAGGAAACGCTACTTTATAATCGGAGCACGATTGAAAGTGAGACCTTTCCATTAAATCTCGCCATGACATTATCATTAATCATGGGGATTCCCTATAGAGATCATGACAACCTGACTCAACAGGAAAAAAAAGAAGAAGAAGATTGAAACCAAAATTACAAAGCTTAATCAAACTCCAAACAACTGCTAAACTTCTTCCTGCGAAACCCCACATCATCAAAATTACAATGGAGGGGGTCTCTCAAAACCTGCCCTTATAATTATAATTAAACACCTTCCCTTGATCATATCTACAATAGAAATTGGCAGCTCAAGGTGGTGCGGAGATCGGAGCTTTTCTTTGAGATCCTTCTTGTTCAGTCGCATGTGATGGCCTTGGACTTGTCCAGGATCGACCACATCACTTGGACGTCCTCGTAAGCGCAGGCCATCACGTCGCCCTGCAAGTTCGTCATGTTTATCCGCTTCTCGTGCTCTGCAAGACGAACAAGACGCCACAAGAAACGCATCAGTACACAAAATCACATGGGAAGCGCACAGTCTCTCTCGTTTTCTAGGGTGTACGGGTTTAGACGAGATGGGGATTGAAATGGTGCGAAGATATGCGGACCTTGGTGGGACTTCTTGTCTCGGGAGGGGCTCTGGTTGAAGAAAGTGCAGGCTTTCCGAAACGGGGATGTGATGGTTTTCTTCCAAGAAGCCATTTTTGGTGCCTCTGAGGTTGCTGCTGCTGCTGCTGTTGCCGTGCTGTGCTCTCTTGGGCTCTCTGTTTGGTAAATTTCTGTGGCAAGTCACGAAGACTGAAGTCTCAAGGCTTGGTCGTGGAGGGAGCTTATATAAGAACACAGCACAAAGTGAAAGAGCGGAGAGAAGAAGAAGGAGAGAGAGAGACAAGATCCGTGAGACGAGCTAATCAATGATCACTTGCTGTTCAAATTTTTTTTTTCTTTCTATATTGTGTAAGAAAGTTGGGTCAACCGCAGATGGCACATGGTGCACGCTCCCACACAGAGACCTACACGTGAACCCCTTCTTCAATCTTCGCCTTCAACGCGAAGTTAGTTTTCTGATGAATTAAAGAAAAAGAAATGGAGATACATGAAGTGTGTCATTCTATGTCATGAAAAATACATTGTAGAAGCAAAAATTGGAGGTTGTTTCTTGTTTTAAACATGTAAAATGGTGATTGCAATTTTGGGTATAAAGTTGTGGAACGACTGACTCATTCACTTGTGATGTGAACAGTAAGCGATTGATCGATTAGAAACTCCACATCTGAGATAATCATAAGTGATTTCATCCTTCAAATACTTTCTCATAAAGATGAATGTTTCCTTATGATGTCCTAATCCGTGCCTCTTCTGAATTAGAATTACCTCTATTGCTATTAAAAGACATTTATGGTGAGCTGTCTGAATCAAAGTAATTAGAAAATAACTTTTTCCTTGTATTTAAGTCTGCTTAAAAACTATATTGTTTCATAGAAAAATAAAATCGTTTTTATGTTAACAGAAAACTAGAAGTGTGTTTGAAACCAAACAAATCATATATTGCACCAGATAAATGTAATCGATTGATTGAAAAGTCATCAGTACTTACAAAATTTTTTATGGTAAGCCGTTTGATTAGAATAATTGGAAAACAACTTTTCCTTGTATATAAGTACGCTTAAAAACTATATTGTTTCTTTGAAAAATAAATTTTTTATGGTAAAAAAAACTAGAATTGTGTTTGAAACCAAACAAATCCTATATTGTACCAAATATATGCAATCGATCAATTGAAAAGTCATAAATACTTACGAAATTTTTTATGGTGAGCCGTCTGAATTAGAATAATTAGAAAATAACTTTTTCCTTGTATTTAAGTGCGCTTGAAAACTATATTTTTTCATAGAAAAATAAAAATAAAAATTATGGTAATAGAAAACTAGAAGTGTGTTTGAAACAAAATACATTCTATATCAAATGCAATCGATCAATTGAAAAGTCATAAGTACTTACAAACAATACGGCATCCCGGGGAATGCCAAATCGATTACTATGTGCCAAGTGTTTTCTCTAAACCAAAAAGATGAGGCTATATGATAAACTAGACAGCTTCTTTCCCATTTCAGTTCATTATCAAGAGTTGAAATGTAAGTGTTGAAATTGCACACATAAATGAATTTGTGAAAATATCTTCACAACCCAACTTTTGTCCTTTGTAAACCTCTCTCTTTCAAGCATCACGTGTTACGTGTTGAAATTGCCTTTTCAACCAATAATTTGTCTCATGTGTGAAAGTTAAATTGCACGTCTTTCCCCGTGCTGTGATGAAATGAGCAATTTCTTGACTAGGATAATTGAGATTTGCTAACTGAAGATGACCATTTCTAGCTTGTAATTATTCTAAGACCCGTGTCAAGAAAAGTCCATGCTGGACCGAAAGTACACTAGGAAGTTTACTAGCCTTATCACTTGCTATTAATTTAATCTCCATTAGCCGAGCAGAAATATCTTGGTGGGGGAACAATATTTATATTGTAGAAGCGCTAGGAGCTTAATGTTACCACGCTAACCGTATAGGCTGCTTCGCTCAATTACTATTTTGCAAGCCAGCGGCATTGGCTGCTTGCTGTTTCCCTTCCAATTCTCGACCTTTCGCGCGTCGTCACGTCGTTTTGAGAAGCTAATACTACCATCAGGCTCCCTGCTCTCAGACTAGCTAGATCTAGAAGCTTCGCCACAAATGGCCGCCGAACGCCGCCACATCTCAGCAATAGCACGTTGTTTGACTTGAATTCAAACTCAAGCCGATTTTGTCATTTTGAGTTTGTGAGGGGATGTTAGAAATTATTAGGGTTTTATCTAGGATAATGTCCATTGTTAGAGATATTTTGATAATTTTGTTAATTATCCGTATCTCTCAAAATTGCACGTGTATTGGACATATATCTCCCTTTGATCGTGCATATCTTGATGAAGATATTATCTTAGAATAGTTATCTAATAAAATCTACAATTAGATTGATGTATTCCTTATTAATATGTACATCAAAATATATGGAAATTTCACAATTCTCTTTTCCGCTTTATTATTTTTCAACTCGGCCGACGCAAGCCGTGTGAGTACTGTACGCCTCTCAACTCATATGTCCTACCTCGATGGTGTCCGTTCTCATAAAAAAAAAAAAACTTGTGCAATTAGATGTGCAATGACCTCATGAAAGAATAAAATTTGACTCGCAACTTATATGCTTGGCCTCTACTAATAATGCCCCACACACACACACACACACATATACAACTTCGAATTTTGAATCAATAATTTACACGAGGCATGTGGGTGAGCACATGATTTGCTGGGGCAAACGAAGACTCCCTCGAACAGCCCTTTCAATAAGGGAAGGTGGGGGGCGAATATTTCGTTTAAGAACATAACTTTAAATATGAAAAATCAAATAAAATAACAACCCAAGCGAACCTCGCTTCATGAGCCCGAAATCATATAAATAAATTTTTTAATGAAATACACAAACAAAAAATATATATATAAATTTGCACTAAGATCGAGAAGATAAATATTTTTTTAATAGTGCCGGTGATTTTAATCATTTGAGGTGGACAATAAACCGTCGCTTGCTTCGTAAAGCCGCCCAAAACAATAATTTAACAATTTTTTATTTAGCGTCTTAATTCGGGCAAGTTTGCAGCTTCTTTTCTTCAATAATAAGTTGATAAAATAAACGAACCAAGAATAAAGTCCGAGTCAGTGTCTTGCTTCCTCGGTTTTCTTTTTCTCTCTTTTTTTTTAAATAAAAAATAGGCCTAATTTCAAAAAAAGAAAACATCAACTTTATCCTGAGTAACGATTTTAGTCCGAATTATTTTTTGTCTCATAAAAAATCGCTAATTTTGGCTTAGATCCCAAATCTGGCATAGACAATTTGAAAATTTCACATCACGGGAGCTAGATTTTGGATTCGAGTAAAAATTGATTATTTTTATCGAAATAAAAAAAAGTTCGGATTAAAATTGTCACTCAAGGTAAATTGATGTTTATTTTTTGGAATTAATCCTAAAAAAAGATATATCTATTTATTTTTTAATTGTTTCTGGGCCTTCCTCAAAATACGAAATTGTCTAGGTTTGAACACATCGAAAGGAGTGAGCTTTAATCAAGATGGTAAAAAAAAAAAAAACAGTGCATCCCCCCTTATCCGATTTTACGTAATTTCATTATTTTAATCCCAAAAAATTAAATAATGTAATTTCGGGTTCAGAGAAAAAGGGAAAATATCTGACAGTGGGTCAGTGATAAATGATTATGGTTCACGGTTTCTAGAGAATAATTCGTATATTTAAATGACCATATGAATATGAACACGATAAATTAAATACTAGGGTTTCACATGTAGTCAAATTTGCGTGCTACATAGGAGTTGAATCGATTGGTCGGTTTGGTTTGTTAGTTTGTGTGGATATTCATCCTTTTCATTTTTGTTTTTTTACAAGTGACAACTTAGAAAGAATAAACAGAAAATATTTTTTTTCATGGGTTTAAATGTTAATTAAATAAAAACTCACTTGCTCTTTTTAATTTTTTGTAATTGTATTAGGATCTGAGAGACCCTTTTTTTTGTTAATTTTGTTTTGATGCATCCGACATCTGTTTCTTTCCTAATGTTCATTGTCCTCTTCAGTTTGACAGAGTGGAGACCACCAGAGATTCCAATTCGAGGGAGACTGAACCAAACGACCAGTAAAAATAAAAAAGGGAAAAAGTCACCAAAAAATAGTAAATTATGCACATTGTGACATATCACGGCCTCATTAAAAGAATGCCTTCGTGGAAGGCAAACACGTTGCTTACATGAAATAAATATGGCGTCGTTTTGACTGAAAAATTATTTGACTGAATTTTGATGAATGATAAATATGTCATACAGGTATAAGTTTGGGATTTTTGTTGTCACGAAAAAAAGTTTTGAATAAATGTGTCACGGTGGATATAGTTTGGGGATTTTTTATATGGCAAAAAATAATTTAAAGTAAATGTGTCACAATAGACACGGTTTGGGAATTTTTATAGTTTTTTTCCTAATAAAAATGAAGACATATTCGTCAAATATAATAAAACTGAAATTCTAATTTTTGAGGTGGTACAAATTATTTTAGGTGAATTTCTTTTGGCCAGAATTAAGATAAGCAAACTTGTCCCGGCTACCATTGTTGCCTCTTTGTGTGTATGTGCTCGCGACGTATGTGTTGCAAACAAGTAATTTGAGTGTGTTTATAACGATTCATAATGGAAATACTTGACCGTAATAATCGAGAGAATTAGAGGAATTCATTGCTAAACCAAAGTCAGACGACGAAATCATAACAAAGTTACAATTTAGAGGACTAAACTAGAGTTACCCAACATCTTTTCCTCATTTTGCATATTGTTTTTTCATCAATTCTATTGTCAATGTTGTTCTTACATTTCATTTATTCCTCGCGAAAAATAAGATGATGCATGGGGTGCCCCTTCCAAGTGCAAAAAGGAGACAGGGATGCTGATGGTGACGGGGCCTCAAAACTAGTACCTACCCTTGAATTTATTTCTGCTCATTATTTTTCCAAAAAAAAAAATAAAGTCCTCTCATTCCTAAAATAATTATTATTGGATGCTTCAATTGGACATTTTGGTTGCAAAAAAAATGTGATTCTTGTCTCATAAAGCAGAGGAAGTGGCCCCTCCTTAAGTTCCTTCTGTTTGGCATTCCAATATGTTGACATTGCCTCCAATTTGATTATTCGTTCCTTAGGGTTTAAACCAAAGTTAATTAAAACGAGGAGTACCTTAGGGGTGATGCTAATTAAGTTATATAAACATCAACCTTAATTTAGATCATAAGGAAAATTAGAATAATATATATAATCGATGCTCCTTGCACTATAATATACGAAGTCACTCGTGCAATGTTTGTGGTTGTTCGTTCGAAGAAAACAGAACATGTTCATCTGTACATATGTGCACCTTAA